AACAAATATCTTTGAAATATTGATTTTTTGTTTCTACGCGAATATTATTCATATTAAATGAAACGATTTTACGGATTTAGAATGCGATCAAATCCGTAAGATAGTTCCATTAAAGTCGTTACTATATTCAATTTATCTTATATTATTATAATACAAATATCATTACTATGAATCGAAAACTGTTTCCGAAACTTTCCCGAAATAATGGCTTTCGTAAAATGAGGTGGATATTTTAAATTTGCGTGAAATATTATCGTTTCATTATCGCGCGGCAAAACCAGTCTCTGGCGAAATAACCAAAACACATTTTCAATACACGAAATTGTGTTTTCAATACGTCGAAATTCAATCAACCATTGATATTACGAAGCTGCGTATTTTATAGAATTTCGACTATCGGATTAAATTTAAAATGTATATTTAAGCGCCTTTATACTTATGCCTCGGAGCAAACCGTTTGAAGCAATTCCAGTAGCTTTAATATAAAGTAATCCCATCACTAATATATCTAAGTACGACTCGAGACGTTCGTAAACAGCTTTGGGCAAAATTAACAATTAGCGAAATTATACTTTCAAAGCAATCGCCAGTAAACGCATTTGCATAATGCCCAACGACAATATTTCGCAGGGGTGCCAATCAACCCCAATCCTGCTTTATTATCTCTGAAAATACAAACAGCTTTCTAGATGTCCGTTTGATGCCATACTTTTGAGCTTCGATAAAGTAGCAGTCCTTTGCTTGTCTGTATTTTGATCTGTGGTAATGTTAAGAGAAATCATCAAATCATCATCAAAAATACTTTGACGTACCATGTGAGGGAATATATAAGCAATAAAAATTATACACACACGCGCTCGGTAAATTATTAAAGTTTTCAACATACTGAAAGCTAAAATATTTGCCTTTAAACGCGCGAGGAGCAATTTAAAGAGGCCGTCGCCACGTGAAATGAATATTAACTAACATTTAATTATCGAGTTCTGAATGCGCAATGAATTTTATTATTTATTTGAATTTTTGTGGAAATTAAGATTTTAATAAAAATTATTAGAATTGTTAAGTAGTTATTCAATAATCAAAATACATTTTTGTTTGTGAGAAAAACGAGCTGCCTCGATCAAGGGATCTTCTCGCCCAAGATTACAAAATATCGGTGTAAAGTGTGAGTTAAAAGACACTCTTACGTAAAATGGAAGAAAAATCCCTTGTTTTTATTTTATGATTTGCAAGCCGTTGAATTGATTATATCTAATTTACTTACACTAATTGGAGAGGCAGCAAAAAAGATGAATTGATGATTTAGCGTTTTTCTGGAATTCTATAAAGTATTTTAGTGTTGAGTAATTGATAAAAAGATTGCTAGAAATACTTTAGTGTTGAGTATTAACTTACAATCGGCAGGTTGTGACATGCTAAATGAGATACAATCTTCCAAATTAAAATGTAATAAATAATAAGATATTGTTTTAACCGTAAATTAATATCATCTATTTATGGTTTAACCTAATATGAAATCTATGGGTATGCAAATCTTCGTACAGGCTGGTTAGTAGAGGCATTGAAACAATATTCACCAAGTAGCCGCCCCCAGGATCTGTAGCAGTAATAACAGTTGAATTCGGATTGCAGTTAATCAAGCCCGTCAATCCTGATCCATTACCTGGAAACCGCTTTGATAAGACACGCACACGGAATACGGTAACTGAGATTCGGGCTGCAAATCTCTATTAAGGTGAATCCAGCTCAAAGGACCTGTAAAGTCCGTTTGCTATTACTACTAGATGTAATTCAATATTTCCACTTTGGAAATGTATATGTACTATTGGAGACTGAGTAAGGATTTTAGAAAGTTGTAATAACAGCAAAGTGATTCCTAATAGTTTTAGAAACATCTATGTTATATACAAAAAAGTTATCTAAAAATGCGCACACACAGTAAAATACACAAAATGATGTATGTATGAATAATTTCATACACCAATTTCATCCCGCATTCTCAACAATCTCTCTCAATTCGAAGTCTTGTCAGTTTTAAAACATCACGTATAGTCTCCCAATTTAGTTTTAGCCCATACAGTTTATGCCATCATTTCTCTCAATGTTAGGTATATACTAACCTGAGGACGTCTAACAAAATTTCCGTTTATAATGTAAAAACTCCCCGCCGCTCATTCCCCTTTATGCCCATAAATTGCAATATACTACTCACATTGCACTGTTCGCTAATAATCCCTTTGTCTATTGCGGATTAGTCTGTGTCCATTAAGTACAAATCAATCCTGAACGAGCCTGCGTTGAATGTTAAACATTGTTCTGTTTCGTTGCTCAGTAACAGGTTTAGTTTCAGGTCTGTTCTAATTATTTGTCGTATGCATTGCCTGCCCGAAACGATAATTACATTTTCACAAGCAACTTAGATGCACGCAGAAACAAATCACCGCTTGGAACCTACCTATGACATTGTAATTGAAGGGACGTGGCATTGAGTTGGCTTTGAATAAAATACTACATGCAATAAAATTAGAGCTTTGTATGACCAATTCAACATACATACTGGGCCAGACTATTATAATTATCCGACAATTATAACAACGGCTGCATCGCCACTTATCATCAGGTGGGATGGCAGTCAAGTGCTGGCCAGTTTCGAATTAAAAAAAAAACAAACATTATAGCAAATACAATGTCAAGCAACATAACCTCTTTCTTGATGATTGTATCACAGCCGTCACTTTTCACTTTTTCTTCTTTTTTGGATTAAAAATGTTAGAATTCCAAATGAAAAAGGACATTATTTGAACGAAACTCGCCCTACATGAAAAAGCCATAATTGTTACTTAGCATTCAATAATTCACACCGCATTGTGACAAAAAAAACGAAATGTGTCAACTTACTGTGCCTATTACATAAAGCCAATCAACGAAATAAGACCTCTTCATAATAGTACATAGCATACATTCTTACTAGTTGGGATTTACTAAAGCGCTTATTTGAGCCAAACTGAGAGTGATTTCCAAAGGAACCGAAAGAATGCTTTTATTCCCAAACTGGTCGGTTCTTACTTATTATTAGTAGAGAATATCGGTAAAGGACCTGCATATTTTCAAAATAATAATTAAAATAGATTCGAGGATATGTAAAGTCCGCCAATCCTTAGTGGGGTCGCATGGTGGGCTAAGCCCTAATAACCTCTGTTCGGAGGTTTTTGCCCAGAAGTGGGAAATATATAGGATGTGACTTTACTTTGATAATAATGCAGAGATATTGTTTGCATTGTCGTTGTATTATAGAATTAAAACAAGAAACGAAAATGTTTTTAAGAAAATCCCGTAAAAGAAAACTCCAAAGATAATACGATAGATACAAAAAAAACTTCATTAAAATAGGTAGTTTCATTAAAGTGTAAACGATGTATTATTAAAAAGCACTTTTAAATAAATTAACAAAGAGGCGCCTTGAATATTTCTTAGCGCAAAAGCGACATGCTCTAGACACTAAATTGTTCAGGCGTTTATAAACCATATGTCGGAAACAACGCAACAAACATAAGACATATTTTTATCTTAAGTAAGACTTTACTTATTAGTGCTTTACTTAACATAGTGTTAGATTTACCTAAGAATTAAGTAAAGTCAACTAAGCTGCTCCTATTCCTGAGAAATAAAAATATTTTTTTTATAATATAAAAACGGTAAAAATATTTTCATCGTATTAATATTTTTAAGTAAAATTAACTTCAGAGGTAAAGGTAAAGATAACAGTAGCAGTGCTTCGATGGCCATACAGAAGGTCTTAATTATAGAACGATAATAAGATATTTTTGAAAATAAATCTAAAATTGACAGTAACACGCAAGTGTATAAGATACGCGACTACGCGGCTATATGTCCGATTAATTTAATTCGAATTAATTATCTACAGTTATTCAATTGAAGCAAATAATTAATTAGGCATTTAATTATGTTTGGGAATTACTGTCAAGGCCGACAAACCCGTTAATCTCTCCTAGCTTGTTCGGTGCCTTTGAAGTTTAATTGGAAATAGAGATTGTCAAACGTAATCCAATCACGTAATGAATGAAATTAATTAGGCTAGCTAAAACTCTACAGCAACGATATTCTAGTATATGAGGATGTCAGCTTACGATATCGTCGGCACCTATCCTAGTCAAGTAAACAACTGTTTCTTAAATTTTCTCCCGCCTACCGTATTTGTCTAATTATTCGGCACCAACGATGTTGAATCTGTATTAGATGACGCATTTCCATACCCGCAGTGTTTAAAAATTGATCCGCTTTACATTACATCACATACAAAAGTGAAGGTGATAGATGATATAGCACGTATAGTAAGGAAAGAGACAGCAGTCTATAGAATCGTAATCTGATTACACGAATTGGTGTCATTTGAGTGCCTAAGTTTCGGTGCACTAGTGCCATATCTACCTCTATTTGTATATACTATTATTGTTTGACACGCTCTATAGACTAAACCTCTTGCCAATTAAATATACTTTATTGCATACGAAGCAGACAGAAATAATAATGAAACTCATTTACAAATTAAAAGTAGAGTGGACGGTCTTATTTCTCTAAGTAGTTTCTTGTATTTTTTGTATTGATTTTTCAAGTTATTTTCTTATTTTTACAAACAAATGTTTGTTTAGTTACTTTCAAAGGTTTAAATAGAAAATAGTTGAAAAATGTAATTGTCAAATGTATGTACTCTCGTTGTCTTCATTTTACAGTCAGCTGGGACCTCCTTGCATTCACTTAAATCATCAATAAAACATAAAAACTATTTACGGAAGCTGTCACTCGTCAACGGGTTGTGTTCAAAATTTGTTTTGTGTTTGTATGATCTAAATCAAGCCATATTTAACGGAAAGTAGCAATTGTTAAATGATAGTTTATGTAGGTGCTGTACGTAAAAATATTTACATATTTCATAACAGTCATGAGCAAGAAAAGTATTTGTGTCGGTGTGTAGATTAGGCATGAATAAATCTGATAGAGGATTTGAGGAGAGATATTCCGCTTGCTTCACTGACTTCGCACTCAAAACTGGTAAAAATGTTTGAAAGATAATTCTTCTACATTTTGGTAATTCTTCTACAATATTGTTTGTCTCAAGGGAATTATGTTTTAATTGTCGAGAGCAGCTGTTTGTAGCCAAAGAAGCTGTAAACTTGTAGACTTCCATGGGAGACGGCAAAAATGTGCCAAAATATTATTAAGTTCTATCTTAAAAAAGTAAAGTAGCAGCTGATATATGTCCCACTGCTGGACAAAGGCCTCTTCTGTACAGAGAGTATTACATTCACCTCACCAGGAATTGCGGACATATCATATTCATTTATCTTCGAATTCTTTGTTTTGTTATTACATCGTAAGCGATTACTTAAGGATTGTCACTAAAATTTCTTACATACAGCAACAGGCCTCCTCATCGGTAGTATGTTCGGGGGCTTCTTCCTTCGTGGCTACAAGCGGTGGCCAATGTACATTGGAGGGGGCCTCGGCTTCGGAATGGCGTATAGCAACTGCGAGAACAGCCTCAACAGCTTCCTGCTCTCCAAGGAGCCCAGGCCGTGCGTCATAAAGTAAGTCGATGTTGGGTGGTCGAGCAAAATTATACCGATCATTTGTCTGTATTTTACATGTGACAAGGTAGCAAGCAACTGAGCTGGCGGTTCATTTGATGTTAAGTGATAACCACCACCCATGGATATTAATTCCGTAGAGATACAGATGCGTTGCCATGTTTTAACAAAGTGAATTCGTGTTACCTCACTGACCAGACAAAACGCAAAAGTATAACACTTCAACTTCATGCGATCATGGTACTTCCCCGACGGACCTGCCCATTCGTGCAACATAGAGGACTGTTGCGTGGCCCTACCATGGTTAATTTATCCCAATGGGAAGAGCTTGTTGTAATGCGAAATGACCTCTAAAATAAATGTTTAATGTTAGAGGGAATAATAATTGTTGAGGCTGTGATGTGGGCCGGTATTTCAAATCGCAATTTGTACATCGGTATTGATTTGGTTACTTTTATAAATTGAAATATTTATTTGTATAAACAGTTTAGGCCCGCTTCTACACTTCACTAGATTAGTGATTAATCAAGAAATTTCGACGTTGACTTTGAGTTTACTTGAAAAATTATTTTCCCTTGAATTTGTTACAGAGCGAACCCAATTTTCATATTTCCGGAGCTACTTTTCTTTCTCCATATTAAAACTGTGTATCCATTTTTACGGCCAACTTAATCCCACCTTTAATTTACTTATATTTTTCTATTATATACATTTTTTTATTCTTTATTACCATTACCGAAAATAAGAACTACAAAGAACGCGTCTCACCTGATAATAATTCTAAGTCTTTGTCTATATGTTACATGTAAGTGTTGCTTAAAAAAATTATTTAGAAGGCAAAAAAAAGTTACTCGACTTCGGAGCATTTGGCTCCTATTGATTCTAATTTCGTTTATTTTTGTCGGTTTCTCATCAAACACAAAAGTTGATTGTCCCTTTCACAGTTGTCACTTATTTAGCAGCAACATTCTGAAAGAAACCAAATTAGCGACAGTCTGGCGACAATCGATCCATTTCAAAGCGAACAATGCCGACGGGAACTAATTACGACTGCGGGAATAGAACGAGTACCGCTAAAAAGATTGTTTTCGACTACTAAAAATAGCACGCCACAATGTAAGAGGTTGTAAATAATACGAGAGATGTAATGGGGATCGATAAAGAACTCGAAAGGCACATTGTACTGTGCAAATGAGTTGAAATAAATACCAGTTGATGTTGCTGCTTACAGGGGTGGCAAAAGTTGTTTAATTTTTGATTCGTTTTGATCGTATCTTGATCAGTTGCTCAGTATTGAATTAGCCTAAATTGGCTTGGAACAAGATAATGTTATCTTTTAAAATATTACCGTCGGAATTTTTTTTTCATGGGATTTTATGTCCTTTTTTCGTGCTGTAATTTATTAATATACAAATTATCACCTGATATCTAGTAAGTAATTTTTCTATGTTCACGATTTCTTCAAGATTTAAAACATAATTACTCATTTCTAAATTATCTTTGTAATAAGTAAAGGACAAGTTTTGTTATACATAAATAATGTAAGGTTTTTAATAATGTAAGGTAACCTAGTTTTTTGCCAAATATTTTTAGTATTCCACAATCGAAAATATTACTTCTGTCAGTAAACTCAAATAAGTCCAGTGAGCCAATGTATGTATAGCATTGAGATATATCATCAGATAAAAATAACTGAAATCACATTTGTGGCAACCCTAGTCGGATCCTTTTAAGGACAGTAATCTGAACGGTCAGCGGTGAAGACGTTACTTATTCCGCTGCCCTTTCTTTACGCGCTGCGGGACACTTTCCTGTGCCGTATAATGCTTTGTCTTCAATATAAAGGTCAGTTACTGTTGCGTCCTATTCAAACCTTTATAGTTCTTGCTCCTATATTTGTATGGTGCACGGTGACGCCCCCCTTTCTTTATTGTCGAAAATCGCTTGTCTGTTTGCAAACGTACCGCCTCTGAGGCTCTCGCCACCCACGGCGATTGCAACAACTTTATTGGCGTCTGCTAAGTCTTTGCTCTTAGCTTCTAACCCTTGGGCATTGCGTTGCAATTTTACTTCCGCGGCAAATGTTGCAGCATTATTGAATTGGTTTGTCGGCAAATCGTCACTCGTTTCGTTTGGAACGTTTTCATTCGGCTCCGTGTCGCTAGAGCGTTTGTGAGTCATGCAATGCGGTAAATAAATTTGAAACTTTTTTTATTACTATCCCACGACGCGTTCATTAATTGGTTAAGTTATTTGTTCGGTTCATTGAGATTTTTAATGATTGTGTTACGTAGTTAATTTCATAGCTTTTTTGAATTGATTTTTATTTATTGATTGTAAAATGTTATCTAGTTAAACCATACACAAATCAACGAAAGACAAGCTAATATCTGACTACGTACTTGGTTCTAGAATAAACTTCGAAATAACTTATTATATAACGCAAACTTAATTTTTTAAGATATGATAACAGCTTATTCATAGATTATAGATTTTAGTATTGGTTAATTGTCTCCTCTAAATAGACGCTATTAGTATATAATCAGCTACGTAACCGCAGGTTTTACTGTCGCTTATGTAAATATATACCATATAAAAAAAAAATCCTTCATTGTTTCATTACATGTTATAACTTGCTATCTTTCCATTCCACACATGTATTTACCATGTGTGGAATGGAAAGATAGCAAGCAACACGGTGTACTGGCATTATGCGTATGAGAACTTAGATTGAGCGATAATAAAAAAGTAAAAGCATGCATCTGTATCCAGACCTACCTTGTCTGTTTTACAATAATGTAGTTTTTAGCTTTGCTACTCAACAATTTGATAAGTACCCTCACCCATCAACGGTTTAGAGCCATGTTATTCCAACTTCGAAATATCACATATAATTTCATACTTTTTAAAAATTAAGTGGAAAACCAACAGAGTTGTATCAGTTATGATGGAGATAAAAAATTCAATAGCACCTCGATTGGCGCATGACGCGCTCCCTTTTCACTGAATTGGTTTTTTGACAAAACGATCTCCAATTACTTTTTGAAGGAGTACAATCGGCTGTTTCTATGTCAGATCGGTTTCAATGCCGGAGGCTGTGAACAGATTAAAAATGTCACGATTCATTGTTTCCGTCTGAATCGCCGCTTTGTTATCACTTCGTCGTCAGTTTTCGAAGGTGATTTCAATAAAAACAGCATAACAGCACAATAAAATATGGATGTAATCGATACAAAAAACAATTTTTCAGGTCTTTTGTTATTTAAATGGTGTGGAATATCACAAAAATTACTACGATTATATCCAAATTAATGAGCGGTGTTGAAATGTCACTGTATTAATTCAACATTTAAACAATATTAATGATTGTAACTCATGATAATTTCTTGTATTTACGCCATTACACAGTACAGACTGTTCACCATGAACACTGTAAAGGGTTCGAAAGCTAAAATTATAATTAACCCTGATAAATCCGTAAAACAGTTTAGTTTACTTATAATGACATCATTTAAATTTCTTTTTCAGGAAGAAAGCTTGAATCATTTACGTGGCTAAAAGTGATCAGGATGATGGAGTGCTGCAAAAATTTGTCATGTAAAAATATGTAACAATGTAGTAGTTAACAATTTGATTTACCATCCTACCTATGCCCTTCGTGTTTTTTATTTGTTTTGACTTTCACTTTTTATTACCTTTACCAATTTATATAACAGAATGTCTGGCTTTCTGCAGTTATATAAATCACGAATGTTATTATTTCATTTTCTGATACCATTACCTACTTACATAAAAATAGTGGTACGGCCGTGCAACAGTCTTCACTGTTGTAGGAATGGGCAGGTCTGTCCGGGACAGTACCAAGACCTTACAGAAAACCGGCGGGAAGTAGAAGTGTTATACTTTTGCATTTCTTCATGTGAGTGAGGTAAACAGGGCACTCAATAAAAAATCTCAAGGTATCTGAAACCCTTGGGGCGTTGAAAATGTGTATATCACAACGTCAGGTGAAGCGCCCGCTCTCTTGCCACCATCTCACATAAAAAACCTATTTTCACACTAAAATCCTTGAGCATAGATTTATGTATGCTTAGATCTTTAAAAATGCGCAACGGATCTTGATGAGTTTTTTGGACTAGATAGAGTGATACAAGAGTAAGGTTTATATGTATAATGCATTGCACCCATGCGAAGCCGGGGGGTTCGCTAGTAATATATAAATGTAATCTAATCGTCCACTTAATAGGGCAACCCCAAGGCATACCTGCATCACTAAAAGAGAAGAAAGGAAGCGTTCTAATCAGATTCAAGGCATTGTACATATAACTATTGCTAACCGGCATTTACCGAGCTTTTCTAGCTCCAAAGATTCTAGATGTCAACGTATCGTACACAAAGTGCCCAATGACTCGCGCACAAACCGTTCGCCTTCCGATTTTTGTCTCGTGCCATCAAAAGTGATGCAATATTGACCCTAGTTGATACACCGCGCGTTATAGAGGTGTGGTCATTGACCCGGTCATACGATTTCATCAGGCACCGTGGCCCATAACAGCTAGCAGGAACGCAGTGAGTCACCTGGAAATGAATCATCCAACGTACTAGCTGTGTATTGTGCAGGTGTGGCCATTACGTTTAATTTTTCTCTCTCTACAAGTCGTTTTTAGTATTTCAAGAACTATTCTATAACTTTTTTATGTTCATATGTATAATTACCACACATCTTACGTATGCTACCAAACGCACATATGTACCAAAGTTTGTTTGTGACATGAACTACATTTTACCCTAGAAATTCTTTGATGGACAGATTTAGGGAGTGAATCCAGGCATAAGCCTAACAATAGTGTGAAGCCACATTCAAGAAGCAGTAAACATAAACATGTCCTTTGAAGCATTAATCAACATCATCGGTAGATTAAAAATAAGTAAGAAAATACTATACGGGGTTTGGAAGTACGAAAAATACTATTGTTACCAGCTGACACGATCGGTTGACTTTCTGAAGCTGAGGTATACTTATTGTAAGCTTTAATCTTTAATTCTGTCTGGATTGGATTCAGAAAAATGTCGAGTTATTGAGATCACTAAATATGTTTTAATCACCATTGTAAAGATACAAGATGTGATTCTATCGCACATTAGGTACTATAGCGAAATTTAATCAACATCATTGTTGTTAAACATTTCTGCTGTGATATTGTACTTAATCGATTTACGTGAGCTATAAACACAAACCTATTAAATGAGGGCGAGAACTATATTACTTTTTATTCGTAATTCTAACTGAGTTAGCGTATTTAGTTGCCTCGTGCCACTGCGAATATCTACCGCCTTGAATATTTCTTCTAAAATTACACTTCACAGTTCGTGACTCCAAATAGGTCAAAGCTTTTCGTGGCGATTAGAACAAATATTTAAAGAGCTTTTATTGCTCTTTGTTAACGAAGATAAGGTGGTTAGAATTTTAAGCCCATTTATTACGATTTTGTTCACTGTAATGTTGTTTTTTCACTCGTAAATTGAGATTCGTAATGTCAAACTAGAAGACGACCGTTAATATACATTACCTACTAAAATACAGTCTTACGTAAGGTAAGTACTTGTAATGTCTGTTGACTCCGTGACGCAGTAGCCAAGGTATTGGCTTCGATCCTCAAAATATGGTAATCAACCTCTATACAAGCCTTTATATACCTTTGTCTTGCGCAGACAAATTATTGTAATCCTGCAATTGCTTATAAAATGAATTTTTGATATGAAACATATTTAGGTAGTTAAATACTTATCTAGCCTAAAAAAAAATTCTGAACGACAATAATGACTTTTCTATAAAGGCTACAAAATGTGTAGTTTATTATTATTCCATGAGTTTATTTTAATAATAAGCCACATAAAATAGTGTCAATACTTAGAGGTTTCCTTTTTTTAACCGACTTCAAAAAAGAAGGAGGTTTCTCAATTCGACCATATACTCGTATATATATTTTTTTATGTGTGTTCGCGGATAACTTCGTCGTTTATGAACCGATTTTGATGATTATTTTTTTGTTGGAAAGTGGATAGGTGGTACCATGATAAGGAAATAATAATAATAATCAGGTGAGTATCCTGCTTTTTTTCCCATAAAAAAAAAAACCCGGATCTGATGATGGCATCCTAGAGAAATCAAGGGCAATTCTCAAATGTTATAGTTATCAACAATGTTTTTTAGATTCCGGTTTGAAGTCGGTTTTTTTTTGTTGAAAATTATTATGAGGTATATAGATATCACATTAAATAAATAGAAAAATATGCGTGCCGCAAAAAAAATCTTGTCCGTTCTTCTATGAACTGATCTAAATTTGAAAACTGGATAGATTGACTTTGACTTTTAATGAAACACGCTTAAATCAAACCGAGACAGCGAGTCGCAGTATAAAATTCTTTTTTTTTTAACTTGACAGACTGATTCGTTTGCCCTCATTCAATTTGATCGAGCAATCATACAGTTTGAGCGCAACAGACGAGCAATCACCGCGTAAATGAAACACGCTTAAATCAAACCGAGACAGCGAGTCGCAGTATAAAATTCTTTTTTTTAACTTGACCGACACCGAGTCGTTTGCCTTCATTGCAACGGACGAGCAATCGCCGCGTTTGGAAATGCCAGTGGCTGGTTGGCGGTGGGCGTAGCGACTTCCAGCGTGAACGGCGGTAGACAGGGCTAATAAAGATGGCCACGCCATCCTCGAATTAGCGGGACCCGATGCGAATCAGGGCTGCCATTAGCTCGTTTAATGCATAACGCTTATCTGCCGTGCGGTTCCGGCTAGAGTGCGTTTTACCTTTTTTATTGCGACACGGCGATATGCATCGAAGTAGAAATTATGATACATTTTAAAAGTAAGCAGTGACGACCCTACGACCGGCAGGTAATACAGGGCCGTCACATGTGATAATAATGACTTAAATAGAGTTATTAAATTGTAGAATTTTAGTCTAGCTTAGTAAATTTAACGTCACCTAACACCCACGTTCCAAAGCGCTTCTCGTCCTGATAATTTGCGTTTCGTTGCTCTAGGACAACAATGTCCTATTAAAACCTTTAAACAACTCCCCACATATGCATAAAAAGAGAAGTAGAGTAGTTTCCTAAACACCTTATGCCACTGGAAAAAGAAAAAGTAGAGTAGTTTCCT